TCAATAGTTTCATTACTGGAACTATACTATGCCTAAGAAAAACAAGAGTTATGAAGAATTTTACTTTCATAACTCACCCCTAAATGATTTTCTAGTTCAATAATAATTGGGAATACTAAAAAGAAAATTTCACTAAATTTACTAAAAGCACAAAAATAAAAGCCCAATGTTGTTCTAATCTCTTATTAGTTTTGACATTAGACAATGGCTCTGGCCTAAATGCTCTCATGGAAACCTGTTTCAGCCATACCCACGTCAGGCCCATGTTTGACCTTCCTGTGTTGTTGTTTTATCCCGTATCTAGGACACAGACACCCGCTCCCTGGCTCAGCTGTTCCAACAGGTGTCCTGACAGGCAGGCAGTTTTAGGGGAGAAAAGGTGCCGAGCCTAACATCAGTATTGCAAGAAACGTCACAAAATCGAAGCATGTGTGGTTTTAACAGCAACAACTCGGTGTTAGCTAGTAACATGCGTAACCTTATTTTTTCACAACTCCAGTTTCAATGAAGACGACTATTGACAGGACCCGGCTTTCCGTTTCCCAATGAGAAGTGGCATGCGCAGTAGCATGCGCGGAAGTACGCACTTGCGCAGCTCTCGCTGCTCCTCCCATTGCTTTTGCTTCAGCAGCTTCTTCATCTGGCGTTTAGATAGTGGCCCAGTCCCTGCATCTAATCTTGGCTTCTGTCCGTCCTCTTCACCTTCACCCACGCCTGGCTTTCTTTCCACGTTAGGAGTCTCAAGAGATGCCGGCAGCACTTCAGAGGACATATTTGTTGTTTCTGAACAACTGGAAAACAACATTGTTTATATGAATAGATAATTTATAAACACAAAGCAAAATAATCCAAATGGCCAAAAGATGCCAACGCATGTTAAACTCTATCAGTAATAAAAATACAGATTTAGATAGTTAAATTCCATTTATTGGCAAAGATCTTTATCAGTTAACATGGATTAAATACATTCGTTGACAGTACCGGTAAAGGACTGCTGTTTACATATACAACAGAGGGGCATCATACAGTTTTCCCAGAAGGCAAGTTACGTTTTGAGAGTTGTCATACACTGATACTGTCCTACAGTCAAGACGACATAACCCGGGGTTATTTGAGGAAGGCTCAGTGGCGGGACTGCCTAGATGATATTGGTCTGTGGCCATATCTGCTGATTGATGTGGAAGGGCCCAGCCCACTGTGGGCAGTGCCATCCCTAGGCAAATGGTCCTGAGCCGTATGAGGATGTTCACTAACATGAGCAATGGAGCAAGCTGCCATGCAGCATACGCCACGGTTTCTGCTTGAGATCCTGCCATGACTTCCCTCAGTGAGGAACCGTGGTCTAGAGGCATAAGGCAGAAACACCCTTCCTTTAGCTTTTGGTCAGAGTGTTTTATCACAGCAACAGAAAATCAAACAAGGACACGTGCTGACCTAGTAATTTATTTTCTTAAAATAAATTCCTGAGTCAGAAATGTACACTAAAATTTGTGTTCATTCTAGCATTATTTTTAACTGTGAAAAGCCAGAATTTACTTGAGTGTCAGCGAAAAGAGTAAATAAATATGGTTCCTCTAATAACTAATATATAATAACTCTATAAGGTCAGTTACATATAAGCCAGTAAAAAAGCTATTTCCAAAACTACTTATTGATAAGAGGAAATGGCTATATTTTACATAAGTATCAAAACAAATACTAATATTCCTATTACATCAAATTATTTTTAAAAAGTACACATTCATCTTCAACTTTTGTTCATGGATATCTATATTTTATACCTTGAATGACATAAGTTTCTTTCTCTAGTAAAGTCATTGTATATCTGGAAACACTTTAGTTATGGCTAAAGAAAATGTAAAAGTTGATTCTGTAATCAGTTTGTGAAATTCTTAGGGTTGGCTGAAATAAATCTTCATTTAAACCTAAACATGCCTCTGGATCCATATTAGCTAGAACTGAACTTGCTGCTTAGAGGGAGGCTAAACACACTGCAATGTCTTTACTCTTCAGGAGTATTAACAACAAAGCTGGAAAGTGCTTCCTATTGATCCCTGCCAAAGACTAAGCGTGATCTACTAAGCAGTCTATGGCCTTAAGGAACATTCAGAGATTTTTTTTTTTAATACAGCTAGCTAATAAGTCTACAGAGAGGCTACAATCTAAGCAAAAAAAAAAAAAAAAAAAAAAAAAAAAAAAAAGAGGAGGAGGAGTTGAAAGAGAAGAAGAGAAAACAATCTTCCATAACGTAATAATGAGAGAACAAAACCTTTGCAGAACATAATTTAAACAGTAATTTTATTATATGATTCTCATGTTCTTTGACAGTACAGTGTTACATTAGTTGAGATTTAATTGATTCTTATTTCATACTTAGGATAACTGAGTGAATAGATATGGCATTTCAATCACTTGAAAAGGAAATAAGAGTAATACCAAACAGTTACTAAATCCTCCTGAGTTTGATAAAGAATGCATCACCTAACAAAATCTCAATCTCACCAGAATGGACTGTATTAGATTTACTTTAAAAAGAAGTCACCATGAGATTGGATTTATTTGAATTTAAAAGTTATTAAATAATTCCTATGAAACAAGGCATCTCAAACAAATCTAGCAGACAGAATATACTCAAAATACTTGGCTGATTAAAGAGACAAATGAGCTGGGCGGTGGTGGCTCACACCTTTAATCCCAGCTCTTGGAGAGGCAAAGACAGGTGGATCTCTATGAGTTTGAGGCCAGCCTGGTCTACAGAGAGAGTTCCAGGATAGCCAGGGCTACACAGAGAAACCCTGTCTCAACAAACCAAAAGAGACTGAGACAGAGAGTATGAGAGAGAAAGAATGAAATCATGGCATTATGACTCAAACTCAGCTCCAACATCAACACTTCCCAGTCACCTAAATCCTTGGAGGTGGGGGTTCTGAAGGGACCGTGCTGATTGCACACTGTTGACAGACGGCTCTGAAGGCATTAAACTCAGAAATGTATAGAGATAACAGAAAAGCGAGGGATAATGGAAAAAGCAAGACTCATTAAATATGAAAACTTAAAAGAAAAACTAAAATTCACAGGAAAACATTTTATGAAACAAATTTTCCATTTCTGCTTATCCATGGCAATGTTTTTCAGTAGTTCTCTACGTGGTTCAAAAACCTGAAGTGTTGAGCTATTCTGTGAGGATTACAAAAGCATGTTCTATAATTCACCTCCACCAGGGGGAGCCTTTGTCTTTCACATCTAAAATGTCTCAAGTTAGATTTAATTTGACCTATCGCAGAATAGTGACATTTTTGAACAGCCTATCAAAAATAAGGAAACATGAACTAGACCTAATTTTTTTTAAATCGATTCTCGAAACACTGTGCTGGGTGAGTTTCCTAAGCTTTAATTAAATAAGCCAGACAGACGTACTGAAACACCTATACATGAAATGCAGATAAAATACTAGCTGGCTATCTTATTTTGGCTAGACAGCTTCCGCTCCGACTGTCTACCATACAATAAATTCATTGTGTACGAATTTGCTGCATTACCTGTTATGCAAAACACGGCACTTTTGAGCATACTGTTTTTAGTTTGGGTTAGGACGTCTCTGTGGCAGTGCCTGGGGCTCCTCCCTGACCGGCAGTGATGCTCACAGTGTGTTTTCATTCACTAAGCCAAGTCAAGCAAGTAATTAAGGACATTTTACAGAAAGTATAGAACATAAGCGTGGAATTTTACTGCAGCACAATTTTTAAAAATGGATGGCTAATTCATAGATATAGGGTATCAGATGGGAATATAAAACTGAACAATGATGACTAAGAGTATTTGGTGTGGGGAGACCACACATCATCGAAGACAAAACCCTCAGCTGTTACCGTGCCGAATCAAAACAAAACAGCCTTGGTGGTTTTCAAGTTTTCTTTTCGGGAACTGCCGAGTCGCAGTAACTGCAGAGCAGAATTAATGACCTGCCAGTAACAGTTGTTTTTGTTTGTTTTTTTTTAAACGTGTTGGTCAGTTCCGCAGTAAAAACAGCCCTTTGTTCATTTGTCAGATCCCTTAGACCAGAGTGCCGGCTTGGGAGGAACCTTAGAAGACAGTTCCGGGCGGTTTTGTTCGTGTTCTTTTTTAAGTGAATAATCTCCTACGATCTCTTTACACCCCCGGACAGATAGCCGCATTTTAAACACAATGTATTCCAGGGACATCTACCAGCTCGTGGATCTTAACCTCATCCTCGGCTCAGCCGCGTCTGCAGCAACCGCCCCTCGACTCCCCGCACCCGACCGCCGGGCACATCAGGCCCAGGGACGGGAACCCAGCAGAGGCGGGGAGAGCGCCTTGCCCGCCCTCCAACAACAACGCAGCCCTGCGACGGGCGGGCCGCCGGCTCCACATGTCGCTTCCTGTCACACTTCCGGTACAGACCCCCACGAACAGAAAGCCGAGAGACCCGCGCGGCCCAGGGCCCGCGCACGCGCAGACACAGGCCCGCGCGCCCGCCCCGCCCTCGCCGCGCGACCCAACGCAGCTGACCAATCAGACCGCTGCAAGGAGGGCCGTGGGGCGGGGGGGACGCGCCGCCTGACGTCACGTCCTCGGAGAGCAGGCGATTACTTCCCGGGCTATGGCCCTCTCCCCCGGAAGCCGTGCTTGCCGCGGAGGGAAGCGCGGCTCGCGTTCCCTTAGCATCCGCGAGGGTACCAAAGCGTAGCCGCGCAGCAGTCGCAGTGCCATATTTACCAGGCCGCGGGGCCGATGGGGAACGCCGGGGTTCGGTCAGAACGCCTTTCCGATGTGCCCACCGCTCCACGCGTCAGTCCTCCGCCAGAAACTTCAACTCCCAGAGGCGGTGGTTGCGCGCCTGGTTACGGCACTTGCGGCTGACGTCATCGAACCGCGCCAATTACAAACACGTTGGGGGAGGAGGCGGGGCCTGTAGGGGGCGGGGTCGAGACCTGGCTTTAGTTGGAGAACGTAGTAGCTACCACGAGGTGTGCTTCCCTGGCAGGAATTGATTTGTACTCACAGGCGTTTGTTCATGTTTCAGCTCGGGTCGCGAGTGGAGTAGAGCCCCACTTACAGAAATCAAAATACGAAACAGACGAAATGCTTTTATTTTCTCGGTGTTGAGAGGGTGATCTATTGCCCAAATGATTTCTAATTTATGTAGGTAAAGGTTACCAGACCATGGTTTTTCATAAGTGGAAAAAACTTAAAGTGAAGTTCTTAATAAAAATGCATTGACGTTAAGAATTGAAGGTTTTTTTTTTTATAACCTTAGTAAAAACATACACTTTACACTCCATTCTTTTGAGGTTTTCCTATGCTAATTTGCAAAACACGTGATATTTCATCGTTTGTAATACTTGACCTTATATAATCTTTTTGTTAAATATAGACCAACCGAGGGGGGGGAAATTAAGCAGTGTGTAGACTGACTATTTTTTTTAATTTGGCCTTTTTGATTGATGACTATTATAGAATTTGGAAATAAACTATTTTCAAATCTTTGAATAGAAGTCTGCCCTTTCAATATTGAAAGAACCATGATGTATATTTTACTTGATGCTTGACCTTTGAACATGGTTACATGATCTTACATGTACTGAAACGTCTCTGAATTTAGTGGCAAAACCAAAGTCTGTCTTTAAAATCTCTGGTTTTATTTGGGATGTGAGCCAGGATTCTCCTGTGGCTCTCTCAAAAATAAAAGATTTCTCTTAACTGAGCATTGGCATGAAAGCTGGATCCAGTTATGATCTGTTGGTAGGACATCTTTTTTCAGCTGCCTCCATATCAGGGCAGAGAGTAGCTGAGCAAGGATTAGTAATTGGATATGGAGCTCTTCACATGTAGGTCATTAAATTCAGGCTGGCATCGCAGTGTGCCAAATCTTTCAGCAGCTGTTCAGTTGCCCCTGTGGGATCTGTTTTATAAATAATGATACATTTTCAAAGGTGATGCCTAGCATCCTCGATATTTAAAAGTTTTTAAGCTATGAGAAAATCCTCATTTTAATAATGTCAGCAAATTTTTGACTTAGTTATTTGATCTTGTAGTTGCAGAAGCAATCCGAAGTATGCAACAACAACAAAAAAGTACCAGCAAAAACTGCAGAAAAACAGAAGCATATAAAAAGTCTAAGGTAAGGTCATGTGATATGAAACAGTCACTGATTTATAAGACTCATGTTTATTTAACACATTAAACAGCCATGGAGTTTCTCTTATGACTTTTTATGATGATGACTAAATGATTATCTCTGTCCTAAAGGAATAGGGCCTCCAGAAGTGAATACATACTTACGATGCCTCTAGATATACAGGAACAAGTGAATGTTTCTTGAACAGATAGTTTCAGAGATCTTGTGATTTTGCTGTATCTTGGGAAGTAAGGAGTTTCCCAAATGTAAAGAAGAAGAAGAAGAAGAAGAAGAAGAAGAAGAAGAAGAAGAAGAAGAAGAAGAAGAAGAAGAAGAAGAAGAAGAAGAAGAAAGAATTCACAACACAGTGAAAGCAAAGACCAGAATGTGATGGTTTTACACAGTGGCTGAAAAGCAATGGATAGAATAAGGAAGAAAGGAGAAAGCATGGCTCAAAAGGTGTTTCTAATTTGAACAATAGTAGAAATATAATCCCATTATCTGGGTCATTTAGAGAACACTAGAAGGAAATCGGACTTAAAAATTATTAGCAAGTTTGGGTTTGAATATATATGGAATCTGGGGGATCTGCAGGCATCTAAATAGAAACAGACTTAAAACCCAACAGTACGTGTTTGTACTTTGAGCCAATAGAAGAGGTTTCCATGGGTCACAAGCCTGTTATATCTGTGCAATCAGGAATGTAACAAAGGAGAGGAGTTACCTGCAGGGAAGCCAGAGAGGGCATTTCCTTTTTAATCAGAGTACAAGCTCCAAGTGGCAATGTGGCCCCAACGATAGCAGACCTTAAGTTTTGAAAGAGAAGTCAAAAGTTGAATTTGTGTGAAATGTGGTTTGTAGGTATTGACACTGCTGTGCATTTTAAAATACTGAGGAGCCATTATAGAAAATAGTACAAAGGTTTCTATGGAAGTTAAAAATAGAACGACATACATAAACCTGAGAAAATGCTATCACTGCCTCGTAGATATCTGCACTGCTGTGTTCCTTGTAGCATTCCCCATCACCAAGATAGGGAAACTAGTATCTGTCCATGTCAGCAAATGAAGGATTAAGAAACTGTTAAATATATACAATGAGCTGTTAGCCCTGAAAAAATGAGATCTTGCCATCTGCCAAAGTATGAATGAGCTAGGAAGACAGTGTACTGCGAAATAAATATTTTATGTTCTTATTTATGTGTGGAAAATAATACTCAAGTGTGCAAAATTAGGGGATAAAGCGGCAGTTATGAGGAAGGGGAAGCATGGGGGAGGACAGGAAGATGTGAGTCGAAGTAACATATATAAGATAAACAAGTTGAGAGTAAATGTATAACCTGAGGCCTACGGCCAGAGAGTTGTTCTGTATGGTATTTTCATACTAATGAAGTAGTTTTAGCTGTTTTCATCACAAAGGAAACAAAAAAGTTGGTTAACTGTGAAATGATGGACATGTTAATTTGTTTCACCATAGCAACCTTTTTACTGTTCATATCTAGCCCATAGCATCATGTTGTATGCCTTAATGCAATAACATTTATGAAAAAAATAGAGTTTATGTGATTTATTCACAAATAAATATTGAGCAGCCTAAATAAATCATATCTCTGTACCAATTTCAGACAATTGGTAGCCAGTTTAAGTTAGACCACAGATTGTAAAGTAAGAAGAGGGCTACAGACAGAATAGAATTTTAAGACACAAAACATGGTAAGAAATGCAATTATGAGCTTCCCCATATGTCTGGACACATTGGGCAGTCACTAAAAATTCTGTTTTTGTCAATCTGGTTATGACTTTAAATCTGAGTTCACTTCAGCAAGTTGGAGTGGTAGGCGGGGGTCAGAGTAACACTTGTGAATTCTTAGTTTTAGACTGGAGAGCCCAAATGGGATCAAATCTAAAACATGACTTGAAAGGTATCTAAAAAGAAGAAACAGCTTCTCGGCTGTATTTATTTCAACTGGCACTTTGGTTGACTTAGAAAACTAGAGAAAAAGTAACTTGTAATTGATAAATATTGAATATGCTAGGAAGATGCCTAGGGAGGAATGTCTGTGAACCTCCTGAATATCCTCATAGAAACAAGTGGAACATCTAGTGTGGCCAGCTGTCTCCAACTGCTGTAACTAGGCAGGAGAGGATCCAAAAGCCCTGAGACCAGGAGGGCCACAAACTGCCAAGCATTTGCTGAAAAGTAAGGGACACTCCCGACACCAACAAGAAAATTGGCAGGTGGTCCAGCAGACTCAAGTCCAAGGCGAGGGCAAAAGAATGAGCAGGGAGCTCTGAAGTTGCCACTGTGGAATCTGTAAAACCTGCCTATGGGGGCGCTGCTCCGGGGCTAAGCCCAGCACTTTGGAGAAACTACTGGGGTCTAAATTGAACAGGACCAGCCAATAGGAAGAGGGAAAGGAAAGTCCAGATGCAAGTGAAGGAAGGGCGAGGTGAAGGTCATGACACAGGTTCACGTGTGCCATTTTACAAAAGTAACAGGTGTTTGTAGTCTTGAGAGTAGAAAAGCAGTTTGACCCCTTCCTTAAAAGTCAGCAAGATGGCTTCGTGAATGAGGATACTTGCTGCCAAGCCAGAGGACCTAAGTTCAATCTACAGGACTCACATGGTGGAAGGTGACTTGACTCCTGAAAATTGCCTCTTACCGCCACACCAGATTCATGGTATAGGCTCACTCACAGTAAATGATTTTAAGAATCCCACACAAAAGGATTATGGCTGGATTGCATTTAAAGGTGCCACAATACAAAAAGAACAAGGAAGCAATAGAGGGATGAGACTATATCCAGCTTTCAGACTAAACATGGGGACATTTTTAAGTGATAAAATATGAACAAAACAAAAAACCAGAAAATTAAGAAATAGACTGGCTTGAGAAAGGAAAAATTTGAAGAAAGTGATGGCTGAGAAAAAAATAAGTATTAAAAAGTGCTTGTGTGCATAAGACATGCCCAAAGGCCCAGCCAGTGAAATACAATAGAAAAAGGAAAGAAAATAAAATTACAGGTGGCATGATTGTCTATCTATATTTAAAAAAAAACAAAAACAAAAAAAAAACAAGTTTCCTAAATCCTCATTTCACTAACTAGCAATTATAGCAGAATTTTAGGACAAAAAGTTAACACACAAAATCCATTGCTGGTTTATGTGCCAGCAATGTACAGTCTGATCTTGACATTAAAAAATGTTTACCCCCACCTTGTGTCATTGCTGTGGGATGTTCTGTATGGCAAATGTGTTGCTCTAATTGGTCAATAAATAAAACACTGATTGGCCAGAGGCAGGCAGGAAGTATAGGAGGGACTAACAGAGAGGAGAAAAGAAAGAACAGGAAGGCAGGAGGAGTCACTGCCAGCTGCCTCCAGGAGAAGCAGCATGTGAAGATGCCGGTAAGCCATGAGCCACATGGCAAGGTATATATTTATGGAAATGGATTAATTTAAGATATAAGAACAGTCAGCAAGAAGCCTGCCATGGCCATACAGTTTGTAAGCAATATAAGTCTCTGTGTTTACTTGGTTAGGTCTGAGCGGCTGTGAGACTGGCAGGTGATAAAGATTTGTCCTGACTGTGGGCCAGGCAGGAAAACTCTAGCTACATGCCATAGTTAGAAATCTAATAAATTTGTAAAGAACCTAAAGGAGGAAGTCTGAAAGACTAATGAAAAACTCAAGATCTAAGTAAATTCAGAGATGTTCTCATGGGCTGGAAATTCAAGACCCTAAGAACATGGATACCTACTACCCATACTTAAGTTTTTATGATTTTTAAGATTAAAAGAAACTAGAAAGCATTGGGGAAATACCGGAATCTAGGAATTGTAGAAAGAAACAGAGCTAGTAGCCAATAATACTCAAAAGAAAAACCCAGACCTAAACACATAGATGTGGGGTATGCCAAAAGAACACAACAGCATAATTGAAAGAACTCATGAATGTATGTATAGGGCAGAAGGGGGGAGGTTGGATATGTGTAGACAAATTGCTAAATGGTCTTATTGATAAAAAAAATAACTTAAAGCCAGAAATTGGGGTTAAAGCCTGAGAGGAATCAGAGGAATAGGAATAAGCACAGCTAACCTCACCTCACCAACTCCGCAGCTTCCAAAGAGACCTACTTCTGAATACCCACGCCTCTATGCCTTTCTATTCTGTTCTCTCATTCACTCTTTCAGCCCAGCTACATCACTTCCTCTTCTTGCCCAGCTCTGTCACTTCCTGTCTGTCTGTACAGACCTCCAGACCTCTGTAGTTTGTACTGGGATTAAGAGCATGTGTCAGTCACCATACCTGACTCTGTTCCCCAGTGTGGACTTGAACTCATAGAGATCCAGACAGATCCCTGCCTGCCAAGTGATAGGAATAAAGGCATGTGCTATCATAGCCTGACTTCTGTTTAGTATAATCGTTGGCTTTTTCCTCTGATCTCCAGGCGAGCTTTATTTATTAGAGCACAAATAAAATATCACCACAGATATGGGGGAGGGTTTGTGAGTATTCCCATGTATATGTGGGTGTGGGTGTTTGTGAGTTCACGAGCACCGTGTGTGTGTGTGTGTGTGTGTGTGTGTGTGTGTGTGTGTGTGTGTGTGTGTGTAGAAGTCAGAGGTCAGCATCAGGTACCTTCCTCAGTAGCTCACCACCCTACTTTTTGAGACTTCTCACTGAATCTGGAGAGTGACTGTTGACTGGACTGGTTGACCTGCAAGCCCTTAGCGTCTCCTGCTTCTCCCTTCCTATACTTGTTTACAGCCGAGCACTGAGCTATGCCTGGCTGTTTATATGGGCTGGGGATGTGAATTCAGGTTTTCATGTGTTAGAGACAAGCCATCTTCCTAAATCCCTGAAAGAACTCTGAATGAATAAAAAATAAGCAGTTACAGCAAGATTAAGTAGATACAGTATTGGGCTACAGCTCAAAGTATAAAGTCTCTGTGAGTCCCAATGCAAAGGATTAAATAAGTAATTGGGCAAAAGAAGAGAAGAA